AAAAAAAAAAAAAAAAAAAAAAAAAAAAATCATGGGACTGTTTTGCTGTGCATTTCCATTCAAAACCTCTTCAAGCTTAAAAGGCAAAATCTATTAAGCAAACATAAAAAAGCTCCTTCTCTAAAAATTCTGGATTAAGGACATTTTATTGTAATGTTATGCAAGTATCATGTGTCCATGCATAGTAAATAATGTCCTGTTTGCTGCTATAGTGAATATGATTTTCCATAGACTTGTCTTTGTAGTTCTCATTCTCACTTAGTGTTTTCATATTTCTGTGTCTTATTCTTTTAAAAACAAATGCATATTGGTCTAACTTAAGGATCTGTTTTATCTGTATCTTTGTTCTTTTATTAGCCTGTAAACATGTGTCTTAATATTTCAGAAAATTTTCCTTTATAATAATAATACTATTTAATGTTTAAGGCTCTATGGCAGCAGTTCTCAACCTGTGGGTTGTGACCCCTTCATAACAATGAAAATACATCACAGCAGTAGTTCTCAACTACTGCTCTATGGCATTTAAAATTTTAACATGGTGTATTAAGGGCACTTAAATTTATTCATTTATTTATTCATTCATTTTTGAAACAGAGTCTTAAGCTGTCACCTTGGGTAGAGTGCTGTGGCATCACAGCTCACAGAAACCTCAAACTCTTGGGCTTAAGTGATCCTCTTGCCTCAGCCTCCCAAGTAGCTGAGACTACAGGCCCCCACCACAATGCCTGGATATTTTTGTTGTTGTTGTTGTTGCAGTTATTATTGTTGTTCATCTGGCCTGGGCTGAGTTTGAACCCCCCAGCCTGGGTGTATGTGGCCGGCACCCGACCCACTGAGCTATGGGCACCGCCCTTAAATTTAAATATTATTTTATAATTGCTGAAAAATCTTTGAAACACTGTCTTTTTATTATATTCATGAATTGTTGTTCCTATTTATTAAATGGGACCTTAGGCACTGTGTTGGCTGATACGTATGCCAGCAGGGCTTCGTAAGCAGGACACCAGCATACTTCATGTGCTAATAGCAATAAAGTTATGACTAAAATTTCCTTATTTTTTTAAGCTTAAATGTTCTTACTATATTTTATTTTATTTATTTATTTTTAGAGACGAGTCTCACTTTGTTGCTCTCAGTAGAAAAAGGCCTCACAGCTCACAGCAACCTCTAGCTCTTGGGCTTAGGTGATTCTTTTGCCTCAGCCTCCCAAGTAACTGGGACTACAGGAGCCCACCACAACTCCCGGCTTTTTTTTTTCTTCTGCAGTTTGGCCAGGGCTGGGTTCGAACCTGCCACCTTTGGTATATGGGGCGGGGGGGAGGGGGGCTCTACTCACTGAGCCACAGGCACCACCCTCTTACTATGTTTTATATTATAGATTTCATTTATTCATAGAAATGCATGCCTTACTAATCATTTAAAATAGAAAATCCTTTCCACGTATAAGTATTGTTTAAAATTTGGTTGGTGGCTCTGCGCCTGTGGCTCAAGTGGCTAAGGTGCCAGCCACATATACCTAAGGTGTTGGGTTCGAATCCAGCCCGGCCCGCCAAACAATAATGGCTGCAACCGAAAAAAAAATAGCCAGACGTTGTGGCAGGCGCCTGTGGTCCCAGCAACTTGGGAGGTGGAGGCAGGAGACTCGCTTGAGCCCAGGAGTTGGAGGTTGCTGTGAGCTGTGATGCCACAGCACTCTACCCAGGGAGACAGCTTGAGGCTCTGTCTCAAATAAATAAATAAATAAATAAATAAAATTTGGTTGGAGAGAGATAGGCCTCACTTTGGTCAATTTTTTATTTTGAAAAACTTCAAACCTACAAAAATGTTGAAATAATATTGCAGTGAATTACCCACACACTCTTCACTTAGACCAGGGGTTAGCAAACTTTTTCTGTAAAGAACCAAATAGTAAATCTCCCAGGGTATGCAGACCATATGGTTTTTGTAACCACTGCTCAGATCTGCTGTGGTAGGAAGAAGGCAGCCAAGCCATGTGCGTAAAGGGACAGGCCTGGCTGTGTCCCAGGAAAACTGGTTTATATGAGCCAGTGTGTTGACCTCAGCCAGGCTCAGAAACTGCTAACATTTTGCCGTATTTGCTCCCTCTCACCCACATATATTATGTGTGGGGGTTTTTTTTTCTGAACCATTGGGAAGACCTTATGATACCTTACTCCTGATATTTCAATATTTATCTCCTGAAAACAAAGACACTCTCTTAACATCTTAATGCTATTAGATAATTGTATCAGGCGAGGTTCCAACAGGCCCACAGAACCAATAGGATACATTTATTAAGAGATTTATTGCAAGGAATTGGCTCATACAATTGATTATGGAAACTGGCTCAGCAAGTTGAAAAACCATAGGGCAGATAGGGCAGGTTGTCCAAAAGGGCAGCCTGGAATTCTCAGGCTTGAGTTGAGATTGTAGTCTGTAGATCAGATTCTTTAGGAAAACCTCAATTTTTCTCCTAATGCTTTCCACTAGAATCCAGCCCATCTGAAAGGTCTAGAATAATCTCCTTTACTTAAAGTCAACTAATTATAGACATTAACCACATCTATAAAATACCTTCACACCTACACCAAGGTTATTGTTTGAGGAACTGAGGACTCAAGCCTAGCAAAATTGACACCTAGATTCAAACTTGCCCCAAAGTCCCCCAAATGGCTGTTTTTCTCCATTTGATTTGAATCACATCAAAAACACTGTATTGCATTTAGTTGTTATTTAGCTAAAATGGTATTTCATGATGGTTAGAGAAAAATAAGTGCCTAACTATACATGATACTGGGCTGTTGATTTCTATAATAACACCTACCTAGATTTAGACTTTTCAGAAACAGAGATTCCTAACCCTGGTTTAAATTATCATAGGCTGTGCCTATTTTTTAAAAATGTTATGTAATAGTCTCCAACTTTAAGAAATGGAATTGCTCCCAAGTAATGTTGAGACTAGTAAGACAAAAGTTTGGTTTTAGAAATTATTGTACCCTTAATTCCTTTTTTTTTTTTTTTTAAAGAGATAGGCTTTATTGCCCTCAGTAGAGTGCCGTGGCATCACAGCTCACAGCAACCTCCAGCTCTTGGGCTTAGGCGATTCTCCTGCCTCAGCCTCCCAAGTAGCTGGGACTGCAGGTGCCCACAACAACACCCAGCTGTTTTTTGTCGAATCTGCCGCCCTCCGTATATGGGGCTGGAGCCCTACTCACTGAGCCACAGGCACCACCCTATACCCTTAATTCTTATATAGGAGTCCTGATTTATTTTTTTAACACATTAGAAATGCAATGTCAGAAATATATCATTATGTAAATGAATCATAGTATATATATCCATGTCATGATAAAACCAAATTTGAATAATAAATTAGTAATTAATATCATAAATTCACTGACTTTTAGTTTAAAGTATATATTTTTAAAAAATAATTACTAGCTTTCCTGCCTCCCTGAGAACTGTTATTTTCTTCAGAGCAGATTTACAGAAAAGGAAAAAAAATAATGGTATAATTTATATGTATTTATGAAGAATATTTTATGTGTTGCCAATAGGGACAAATAATTATAATGATAGCTATATTTATTGAGGTCTTTGGGCCAGATTCTGTTCTAATTGCTTTATGTAATTTGTCTCAATCTGTACAGCATCTCTCTTGAGATGGTGAAGTCTTTATCCCAGTTTTACAAATGAGGAATCTGGGCCTTAGAGAGGCTAAACCATTTGCCTAAGGGCACATAGCTGCTAAATAATAGAACTGGAATGAATAATTGGAATAAAAGGGACTGCTTTGGTTGTACTGTTTAGCTATTACAACGTAAAAATGATCTTAACTGATTATACGAATTGCCACTTCCATCAAAATAGATTTTGCATATATTAAAGATAGTTGAGTATAAGGTAATGGAAAATATGAAGCATTTAGTTTTTTAAACTCAGCTTTTCAGTGTTAAGTACTCATAGTAACTAACACTGGGCTACGTGAGCTGCTGGAAATCTGTTTAACTGCAAGTCAGTTTTATCTATTTATTTACCTTCTTACTGTTAACATATTAAATGGGTGTTTCCCACATCCTTGACAACTTGATTTTCTTAGAGGCTCTGTCTCCCTAGATTCTTATATATACTTCAGTTGTGATGCTTGTTCTGGAAGTAGGTTCACAATGCTAACGAACCTATCATCTAGGGGGTCTGATTTCCTGGTATTTGACCATGCAGACCCACCTGAAAACTCATCACTGGCCATTCTAGGCAGGCCTTGCAGATGAGCCTGCAGCTTAGCTCTGGTAGTGTGAGGGCAGATGTCATCAGGAACATCCATATTCTGGAAGACTGAAGACATAACAGAAATACCATATGTAAAAGTTTGACAGGATTTGGGCGCCGGCCCCATATACTGGAAGAGGCAGGTTTAAACCCGGCCCTGGCCAAAAACTGCACACACACACACACACATATACACACATACAAAAGTTTGACAGGATTTAATGGCAACCACAAGTTTTCTCTACAATATCAGGTACAAATATTATAGGTCTTTCAGGGATGCTAGGCTAAAAATCGTGTTACTTAAAAATTCTAATGAGAAGAGCAAGGGATAATTTTGTTTATAGTCAAGAACTTGGAAAAAACCTTTGGGGAACATAATGCTTACTGTCTCAAGGGAGAGGTTGTCCAAGTCAACAGATGTATTCCCATGCGTAAGTCCCTGGAGTTCGTTTTTTATGATTTAACCCTCCTCTTAAGGTTAAATTTCAATGTCACTTGGTCAGTGGGGAGATGACTTAAAATGTGCTTTGGAATAATCCCTTGATCTGGACTTCCCCCCCCAATTTTCCAGGGATCCTGAGCAGCTGAAGAAGGAACTGAATGAGCTAGTCAGTGCTATTGAAGAACATTTTTTCCAGCCACAAAAGTACAATCTCCAGCCCAAAGCAGAATGAAGTATTCCAGCCTGGCGCAGTTACAGTTACTAACAGTTAAGCTGAGTTTGATTTGTTAAGCAGTATTTTTGAGGACCATATGATTCAAATTATTGATAGAAGTATTTGTATTTTTTTTTAAATGTGTTCTTCATTGATTCATGTTTGATCTTTAAGGTGCATAAAGAAAAGTTTGCCAAACCTAACAACAAACTAACATTCCTATTAAAAAGTGAGCCTGAGGCTGGGCGCGGTGCCTCAGCCTGTAATCCTCGCACTCTGGGAGGCTGAGGTGGGGGTGGATCACTTTGCCTCAGGAGTGGGAGACAGGCCTGAGCAAGAGTGAGCCCTCATATCTCTACTAAAAATAGAAAAAATAGCTGGGCATGGTGGTGAGTGCCTGTAGTCCCGGCTACCTGGGAGGCTGAGGCAAGATGTCTTAAACCCAAGAGTTTGAGTTTGCTGTGAGCCATGATGATACCATGGCACTCTACCCAGGGCAACAGAATGAAACTCTGTCTTTAAAAAAAAAAAATGTGAGCCTGGGCATTGTCTGAATTTTTTAAATTAAGATTTTTAAAAATAATTAACATTTAAAAGTATATTGTAATTACGCCTTAATTTGTATCAATCATAAATGTATGTCTTCTCTGTAATTCTTTTCCTGTATACTTAAAATAGCCAGAAAACCATGCAATTACTAAATTCTGGGTGGTCGTATGTAGGATAATCACTTTTTAGGTTATATTCCTTATAAAACAAAGTAAATTAAAAAATGAAATATTGTGTTTGTCTGTGTTCAATGGTGTTGAAATTCATTTTATCTCATCAAATCTTCAAAACCAAACAAGAAACCTGGAAGTAGTTGGGTTCAGTTCTACGAGAATAACTATTTACCTGACTTACATTTTTTCCCTTGTTCCTACGTGATCAAAAATCTAATGCCAGACCTTATTATGGTAGATTTCCTATACATATATTTCTACTTAAATAAATAGATGTATTATTTAATCTGTGCCTTTTACCAGCTCATAATTCATGCTCTTATAACCTTCCAAAATGGCTCCATTTGAGCACCCATGAGCTAGGACCAAACTGTTCTTTTTTTTTTTTTTCTGAGACAGAGCCTCAAGCTGTCCCCCCTGGGTAGAGTGCTGTGGCATCACAGCTCACAGCAACCTCCAACTCCTGGGCTCAGGCGAGTCTCCTGCCTCAGCCTCCCAAGTAGCTGGCACCACAGGCGCCCGCCACAATGCCCGGCTATTTTTTGGTTGCAGCCGTCATTGTTGTTTGGCGGGCCGGGCTGGATTTGAACCTGCCACCTTAGGTGTATGTGGCTGGAGTCTTAGCCAATTGAGCCACAGGCGCCGAGCCAAAACTGTTCTTTATGTACTTTATATATTTATGTTTTCTGTTTTTAATGAAATGATTACCAGTATTATTATTATTGTTGTTATTATCAACCTAACAGTTTCAGAACAATGAAAAGTTATAATACTACTGACAATCATTTTTCTAAAGTAGAAGAAAAAACATTTTTATGTTAGTAATACCTAGTTTGTTCCTATCAGAACTCTTAAATCTACAACCTCAGTTTACTGACTGCTGCCTTGTAAGAGCCATATTTATTTTTGTTTTATGTTTTCTAGTCTCAAACTATACTCTGGAGAAAAGAAATGTTAGATCTATGTTTTGTCTACATTTTTTTTTTTTTTTTTTTAGTTTTTGGGCCAGGGCTGGGCCTGAACCCGCCACCTCCAGCATATGGGGCTGGTGCCCTACTCCTTTGAGCCACAGGCACTGCCCAATGTCTACCTTTTTTGAGCACATACTTTACAACGTATATTCTATCATGGAATTTGTTTCTGGAAATGCAAAGTGGATTTATATTTCTTGGAAATACAAAGTTAATTTTGCGTGATGGAATGCACATCTAATTGGAGGGCTAGTAAGTAATCAATAAGACATACAAACTCAACAGCAGAGTCATTTGCCAGCTCTCCATGCTGAGAAGCATCAGGGAAGGATTTATTCTGCCCAGGGAAGGCCCCGTAGATCAGCTGATGGCTCCCCTTCCGGATGACAGGCAGCTGAAGATGGAGGAGAAAGTCTTCTGAGCACAGGGCACAATGTGAACAGAAATGTAGTGGTTCCAGCAAGAGGGGTTGGAGGGAGGAAGGGGAGATGGTGACAACAGAACCCATGATGTCAACTTCAGTGTATATCCCACCTCATCCAACTTCTCTGGTCCTCTGGTCCTCACTTGACTACATGATTTTTTGTTTGTTTTGAGACAGAGTCTCACTATGTCGCCCTTAATGGAGTGCTGCGGCGTCACAGCCCACAGCAATCTCAAGCTCTTGGGCTCAAGCAATTCTTATCTCAACCTCCCAAGTAGCTGGAACTACAGGTGCCCACCACAACCCCCAGTTATTTTTAGAGACGGGGTCTCACTCTGGCTCAGGCTGGTGAAACTCATGAGCTAAAGCGATCCACGTGTCTAACCTCCCAGAGCTCTGGGATTACAGGTGTGAGCCACTGCACTTCCCTGACCTGATGATTTCATTAGGTTTTGAGGGGATTCCCCCAACTCTATTATTTCCCACTTGTATTTGTAAGAAAGAGCACGCCCTGGCTGCTCATGAAGTATTTACTAACTTCTTCCTGAAATTAGGGGGTGTAGGGTGGCTTATAGCAGGAAGGCCCTGGGCTTTCCATTTTGGCCTGCTGTACACCGGCTTTGGGACCTTGGTCAACTCAATTAACCTCTCAAAGTCTCAATATTGTCATTTTTTAAAAACTTTTTTAAAGGCCCGTTTTAGTTTTGCAGCAAAATTGAGAGGAAAGTACAGAGAATCCCATACCCTTCCTACTCACACACACACACATTTTGCTTTCCACTCTATCCACATGCCCCACAGAGTACCACTGAGGACCCACACGCATGATTATCACCCAGACCACGGAGACAATAAAACCATCAGTGGTTGCCAGGAGTTCAGGGAAGAGAAGGAGGGGTGAATAGGCAGAACGTAGAGGATTTGGGGGCAGTGAAAATACTCTGTACGATGGTGGTGAATCTGTGTCATTATCCATTAACCCAGACTCTATAATACCAAGAGTGAACTCAAAGGCAAACGATAGGCTTTGGGTGATAATAGTCATTTTTTAAAATTGAGAGATTTTACTAAGGGATCTCTGAGGTCATTTCTTGCTCTAGGTCTTTAAAATATGTGGGAACCCATAAGGGACAGTTATAGTAACAAGGAATCATTGGCAGTTCTCTTTGGCAGAATGCTTAGCTAGCTCTCTTAGGGGACCTGACATCTCAGATAGGGGGAAAAAACTTTGTCCCACAGAGGGCAGCCTTGTGTTCAGATCCTGCCTTGCCTTGCAAGCCCAAAGGGGGTGTGTGCACCGAAATTACAAAATCTGAACCACGTGGCATACAGATGCGGAGAGAGACTTTGCACAAGAGTAACTCTGACCACTAGCCTGTGTTCAGAACTAGGAGCTGTCACAGCAGCTCGGCCTTTCAATTGCAGGACCTGCCTGGGGAAGACCACTGATCTGAGTGTGGAAGGAGCAGCCTGATTTCTCTCATTGCCTAGAAAGAACAAGTCCTAAGTTAAATGCAGGAGATTGAACTGCAGGAGGAAATACAGGCCAGTGGTCTTTACTTTTCTTCCTTATGGTCTCTGAAATAAGGGCTGTTCCTCTTTCCATTAAGAAATATTAGGAATCTGGGCGGCGCCTCTGGCTCAAAGGAGTGGGGTGCTGGCCCCATATGCTGGAGGTGGTGGGTTCAAACCCAGCCCTGGCCAAAAACTGCAAAAAAAAAAAAAAAAAAAAAACAATAAAAACCAATTAAAAATCCTTCTCATTTAATTATCTCATTGATTTACCTCTGTCGTGATGCTAGTGAGGGAACGTTAACTTCATTGCCATTGGAATCTCATGCAGTTTTAGAAAGAAATGCTTTACATGACGGAACAAATATTGTGAATATTAAACTTTGAAGGAATTTTGAAAGGATGGTTGGCATCAACATCATATTTATGATGTCTACATCCTAAAAGATTGCAGGAGGTATTTGTACATTTATTCATATGCCCACTAATGGAAGCATGTTTGAATCCCACCAGGAGCCATGCGCTTTTCTGGATACTGGTAATAAACATGAAATCTTGATCTAGAATGGCCTAGGAAGGGAAATACACCTGTACACAGATAATTCCAATATAGTGTGCTACACTACCATCGTGAAGTGTTTGAACTATGGGTGAACAGTTCTTTTTTTTTTTGAGACAGAGCCTCAAGCTGTCCCCCTGGGCAGACTACGGGGCATCACAGCTCACAGCAACCTCCAACTCCTGGGCTCAAGCGAGTCTCCTGCTTCAGCCTTCCAAGTAGCTGGGACCACAGGTACCCGCCACAACACCTGGCTATTTTTTGGTTGCAGCCGTCATTGTGGTTTGGCGGGCCTGGGTTGGATTCGAACCCGCCACCTTAGGTGTATGTGGCTGGTGCCTTAGCCACTTGAGCCACAGGCGCCAGCTGAGTGAGCAGTTCTTAACGTCTCCTTTCATACTTGTCTCTTTTAAGGCTATCAGGTTTTGTGTTTAAATCCAAATGGCTCTGGAAGGATGTTTGCCTGTCATTCTCCTGTGTCCTCCCTTTGTCCATTCTTGCTACAAGCATATTTGTGTAGAGTAACTCAACCACTGAAGCAAAATGCTGCACTCTGAGGCAGATGAGAATCAAAGATTAAAATAATATCACATCTAGAGACTTCTCTATGTACAGAAAGCACAACGACTGCTCAGATTAACTGAATGAAAACTGGAGCGGTGAGGCCCTCTGCCACGGTCATGCTTGTGACCGTGGTGATCAGGATGGACAACAGTATTGGTGAATCTGGGTTTTTTCCACCTGGCTCCTTTGTATAGGTCTTTGAAAATAAAATTTGAGGAACAGAGTTGTCAGCGCCTCCCACTTGAGTCCAGCTAAGCCCGCTTTAGTGTTTGGCCCAAACCTGGTGCAGAAAGGAGTTGGACACACAGACCAGCTCTAGGTCTAAATAACTTTAGAAACCATTTCAAAATAGCATTGCACAACTTCCGAAGGGAAGTTAGGGTTGCAAGTTACAGAGATGACAGAGCCTGATTATGTCCTTAAAATATTTCGTCCTGAACTTTTTTTTACCTTAACTGGAAAAAGACAAGTTCTAAAAATCAAGAGTAAAATACAGCTCCCTATCTGAACCGTGTTTCTGTGGTTTACTAAAACAAAAGTAAACTGTAGGTGGAAGCTTGGGCTAATTATCTCCTTCCTGAGTTCACAGGCTTCCTTTTTTCCCCTTCATAACCTTTAGCTGGTTCATTCCCTAGGGTGAAATGGTTCCTCTGCCCTCTGAAAGCTTCTT